AGAATGAACATTCTTCCGCAGTGGAAACGTAGAAATAGCATAAAATAACTTACGAAAATTGTCAACATAAGTGAAATAATACAAGTTAGGAGGCGAGGCTCGCGTGATAACTCGCTTCTACTGTTGCCTTTGATTTACAACTGCACGCTGTGTAAAAATGCATGACACATTTAACTCTGTCAGTTATTTTATAAGTAGCGAATGCACAAAATCTCTTTTGTTAACCGAGCAAACTTATAGGAGTGTAGTTTTATTTTCTAAATATTATAAATGCGAATGTTTAGATGGATGGATGTTTGTTTGAAGGTATCACGGGAACGGCTGAACGGACCTCGAATTTTGGCATAGATGTAGAACATAATCTTGAAGAACTCATAGGCTACTTATTAACTTTTTTTAAAATTACGCACGGACAATCGCGGGCGACAGCTAGTTTTCTAATAAAATATTTTTAAGAAAGAATATGATAGTGTGGGACCAATACTAATATTTCTATCACATTGGAACACATAATTACCAAAGAAAAATCTTTAAACTTTACTCAAGTATGTGCTATAACTATCGTGGGTTTCTGAGACCAAAATATCTGTATAAAACATGTCGTCATTCCTATCATTAACTTTGACGAAACAGAGATAACAATATGTTCTAAACGAGGATTTTGGTCTCAGAAACGCGCAGTTAGAAAATTTTCTGAATCTTACACACACTTGATATGAATAATCGATTTCTAAAGCGATATTGTGGATCGAGTATCCTAATTGAGTTTTTGTGGTCACTTAAAGCAATGATGAGTCGATTGATCGCGCGCCTGCGACCGGTGTCAGATAATTCGAGTTAATTTACGATGTAGTGATAACCGGTCGGCAGCCGCGACCTGACAGATTGTGTCGCAGATACAAGCCATGGACTAGTTATCACTTGCGGCTGGAATTAATATACGATCCTAGAGATTTTATCCTGATTTTTTTTTATATGTATGAAATGTACATAAACTATACGATCGCCTTCTAAATAATAAATAATGTTTTTCGATTGCTACGAAAGTTTTGATCAGTTTTAAACACATGGATTATAAATCTATAAATTACTAGCTGTCGCCCGGATTCCGTCCGCGCGGGATGAAAAATAGATGTTGGCCGATTCTCAGACCTACTCAATATGCTCACAAATTTTTCATGAGAATCGGTCAAGCCGTTTCGGAGGAGTATGGGAACGAAAATTACGACACGAGAATTTTATATATAAGATTATAAAGAGGAAAGATTTGATAAAATGATTGTATTGTATTCTTTCATTGTTGAAAAACTAAACCATCCCCGAGTGACACAAGCTATATTACTAGATGTTTTTTTTAAATTCCGCGAGGACGAAGTCGAAATTAAATAAAATAGTAAAAATGCTACAAAATAGAATATTGGTTTCGACACTGAACCCATGTGATGTTACTTCATGTTAAGATAACCTAATCCTAAGGAATGAATCAAGTGCTAAGTGATTGTTGCTATTGTATTTTAAGCAGTATACATATCGTAGTCAAACTCAGAGGCTCAGTACAGCTGTGCTTTATATTCAACAGGTGAGGCACGACCGGGCGAAAACTACTGAATACTAACACGAAGCTATTTAGACTACTTACTTGAGCGGAAAGTACCTACTCTCCAACATTAGTCCCTAAAATACTCAATTAAGTAAAGCTAAAGCTTTTTGATACGTATCAATATCCTAACCTTCGCTAGTCGGAGTGGCACCTCAAGAAGAAGAAGAAGAAGGTCAATATCCAATAATTTTTAATATCCAAATACAGTAGTTATTAAAGTCGAAATGATTCATCTAAATTACTAGATAATAGACTAATCGAAAGGAAAAGAAATCCACAAAACATTTTTAACATTCAAGAAATTCTTTTATAATAACGTAATAAGATTACTAATACATTATCGAGCGTAATCACTGTAGCCTCGTTTAAGCGCGTTGATGTATGGATAGGCAACGATGAAAATAACCTTTATCTCTGGTAAGCAAACAATGCCTCACTAGAGACCAAAGATAGTATACAAAATGCTACTAAAATGCTTCAGTATTCAAACATTCGAGATCTTAATCTCGTCTCCGTCGAGTGGGAACAATAAAGGCTTGTTCAACGGATAAATATGAACACATTTAGTCACTGTTTACCGAAAACAAAGTAGGGTATTAGTAGACAGGAGCACAATGAGACTAATCTCGGTTGACGCGGTTTGACAAATAATACTCCCCGTATTGCTATCGGCCTGTGAACGTTTCGACCTGGGGGGTCCGACGGTGTAATACGACTAAATTGTGCTCAAATTCCATCCAAAGATAGCAGCGCCACCTCAGTCAGCGATGGAATATGCAGCTAATTATTTGAAGATGCATTTAAATCGGCCGCCGTCAGCTTAACAAGACGCATTGTGAGCATTCGTAAGCTTTCCAATTTGTTAACAGCATTAACGTCGGAAAGGAACAACATAGCAGGAATTTATCTTACTAGATCTAAAATATTTATGGAAGAAAACGGCCATTGAAAATACAAAAATGTCCGTATATTTTAAACATAACACGGAAATGATCAAGACGTTGTGTGAAAACGAAATAGATAACAGTAGAAGAATGCTTTGATGTTTATTCAAAACAAAACATAAAATAAATTAGGACTAATAGTTTTGAAAAGGTGAATTAAGCTATAAAATTATAAAAGACTGATTTCTTTATTATAAATCTTAGTCCTTTTATGAAACTATCAAAGTTCCTTCATCAAACTAACGTCGGAAGTCAAGCGTTGGATGCTCATCATTTCCTCCATTGATAACCGAATGCTATCAAAGACGTGTCGTATAAATAGCACATTGTCGGGTATTGAATACCTCGTTATGTACCCGAGGACTTCATTCCATACTGGTACCTTCCAAATGATCACCCTTTGTACAATCAACAATACTGTCGCATTATTATAATGGTACATCATAACAGGATACGATTGTATAAGGTAAAAATATGTATAAAGCAACTCAATTATTTATATATTTTATTCATATTTTTCTTTCAATAGAGATTGGAATACATTAAGTTAATAAAACTTTGTGTCATTCAAAATATTCCCACCGAATAACTTAAAATCTAAGTATTTTGTATAATAAATTTATTCCAGTCATAGCGGTCGTATTCCAGTTACCACCGTACATTTCAATTCAAACGTCACATCAACATACATTTCCTCGGCTTCCGTCAGGTAATAGAAATGTCCCCGATAACATTTTATTGAAATATCTTATATATTTAAATGAGCAATTCTTGTATATATACTACCCTTAATCGACGGAGGAGATGCAAGAAAGAGGACTAAATTAGGTCTCCGGAACGCACTCTCATCAGACGAAACGCGGAATTGCTACCACTTCACGCCTGTCTTCTGTGTGGTCGTGGTTTTTCACTGAGCGAGCCGGGCCAATTCGTGCGAAGATGTTAAAGCGGGCTCTACCACTGTTATATTATATAATTGGAATCTCGGAATCGGCTCCAAAGAATTTCATAAAATTTAGTATATAGGGGGTTTCGGGGGTGATAAATCGATCTAGCTTAGGAACCATTTTTAGAAATTGTCATTTTATTCGTATTTTATCGATAATGAACTTAAACATAAACTTAACTTTTTCTATCGGTAACATCGATAAATATTATTCATATTTCATCATTTTATTAGTAATTCGTACTTAAATATAATTTCCAAAAAAACACAATTTAAAAAAAAATACCATCCAGGTACTATATATTATATATAGAATGAATAGATCTCATATCGATATTGAAACCAATGCAAATATTAATTTAAATTAAACAATCAATATTGTACTGAACAAATTTGAACTAAATTTAGATTTAAATTGTGTATAGTACCGGACGATTTACTGCAAACGAATGATCCGCATAACAATGACTGTTAATCATACAACTCTATGTACATTGGTACTACTTAATACCAAACTTCTATTTATATTATTATGTAATTACCAGAAAAAATATGAGTTTATGCCGATATTTTCCATATCTAAGAAACAAAACAATGCAAAAAATACTCAAATATTGTGCGTAGTGCGTACGCCACACATATAGATAATGCTTGTATAATATAATAGTTTCCCCCATTCTATTCATAAAACGTGACAATGACATTTACCTACTTCCCTGTCCACACGCTTCACCCCGCGTTGCGTTAGCCTAGCCATTTTCATTAATAAAACGACTCATACTATTTTGTTTGTAAAAGTAACAAATAACAGAGTATAACTCATAACTAACATGTTTTGTTTATTTTATTTTAGAAGAATTTAATATTATCGCTAGCCACTCCATCCTTTGCCACCTTATGATATAATAAAAAAAAGTATTTTTACTCAGATTAATAAAAATATTCAGCCGTGAGCCACTAGCGTTCGTAGGCTATTGTTTTGTAAACTGAAGGTCGGATTAATGTGTGGACTATAAAATATAAAATTAGCCGATCGAAAAACGTTTGTGGATTCACACCACGCGTAACGCAACTCGTAAAATCTCCAAGGACGGTGAACAATAGCCAGGAGAGGTAATTTGCATAGCTCGAGCAGTGCGTATTCGGCACATTTGCATGCCCGTAACGGGCGCGCGACGGACACCGGGACACGGCGAGACGCGGCGCCGGCCCGATGTAATCAAATGACCCCCACACGCCGGAGTGTCGCAAACAATAATCATTCAAATTCAAATTTCGAGGCTCCGAATTGACGCCGCGACGTGAATTTATTGGTGTAACAATATGGCGGCCTAGTCCCCAATCGACGCCTCGGGTGGCGCGAGGCTGTAATGGAACACGTGTTGCTGCCGACATAATGCGCTTCCTCATGTACTGGTAACAAACTGTGAGAATCACATATTTTTGTATCAAAAAACGATACATACAATGGCTACGGTGAATGCACAATGTAAACTGATGGTGTACTCACTTCCAGCCTGTTGAGTATCTCGAAAACAGCCATATTTCGTTGCTGTGCGGCCGAAAACAATGGCACCGTTTTCGCGCCCGCTGACAGTTGCACGGTCTCTGCAAAAGGAAATTCAATGAAAATTTAAATTCACCTGAAACATAACGGACAAAAGGAACAAGATTTACGGTAGAAAAGTTTTTATCGCAGTCATCCGGCTAAACTGGAGCTATTTCACTTTTCTTTTGCCTTTCTTGCTGAATATTCTCGAAATATAGTTAAGACTTCAAATAAGGAGTTTTAAAAGGTAAGGCTATTAAAGAATACAAAGATAAAAAATAATAGAGCGCATAAACGCAAGAATAAAGTTTTAAAATTTTTATCCTATGAATAATTTGTAAAAGCTTTTGTAAGATAATCATGTTAGATGAGTCATAACCCCAGACATTGTGAAATTTACCCTTAATTTAGAATTAGAAATAAGTAATTCAAACATTCGTCTAACAGCTTGGTGAATTTTTTTTTTCTCATATTCTCTTTAACACTCAATATGTATGCCTAAAACGAATGCAGCTGCACTGCAATGAAAACGTAATTGCATATTTAAACAAGAGTTCTTTCATACGACGGGCATCAGTCGGAGCATTTTGTTTGCATGTACATACTATGCATGCAATAAATACCGAGTGAATCGCAAACAGTACTGCATATGCTATTTACTCCGTAAACGATATAAAAGTAAACTTCCATATTTAATTGGCATTTTAATTAGAACTTTTTCAATATAATTTTTTTTTATCATTTTTTTGCAACACAAAGCTTTTGGAAGCTACGTATTGTTTGTGATAACTCCCGATTTAATAAATTGAAGATGCATTCAATTCCTTAACACTAAAAGATCTTACCTATTTACTACCTACTTATTTATTATAGTTATCTTAAAAAAACATCTTTAATCTTAAAATAAATTAATTAAAAATAGATATGATTGTCCCGTTACGACTTCCGAACGAACATTCTTTAAAGATTTAAAATCAAAACAATTGAACAATGCAACATAAAAGTAACTTTCGAATTACATTTCCAATGAATCTTCATCTGTCTTACGGAATCGGTAGCGTGATAATCAATTCATAAACCAAGATCATAGCTTAAAAGAAATGGCTCATAAAAATTCAGTAGATAAGCGTCGTAACAATGGATGAGCCAAAGACGTGCCCCGACACCAGAGGAACTGAGCCATAAGAAGCGGATTAAAATGCTGTAAATAAACATACGTGAGCCGTAGCTAGAGTTAACCCGAACCGGAATACGTTTATCTTTTCCCGAGAAACGATGTGGAATTAGAAAGATCGACACGTGGAGGTATTAATGACTGTTGTGCTACTAAAGAAAACGCGGTCTTAAAATGAAAACATGACATTACAATGAGAGTGAATTTCCCAGAACAGAGAACGCAGTTTTTCTAATGTGATGTTAAATTGGAATAACAATGATGAATTTATCGTTTTTTTTTTATAAGAGAAGGGGTCAAACGAGCAGCGGAAACACCGAGGTGTTTATCGACGCCCATGGACATCAGCAATACCAAAGGAATCACAAATGCGTAGTCGTTCTTCGAAATAGTGATACGCTCGCTTCTTGAAGGACCCTAAGTCGTAGCGGTTGTCGTCTACTACAGTGAAATATTTTTTATCATTTAGCCTATTAGATTATTTTTTGTGTTTGATTACTAAGTATTCGGGAAAGCAATAATCGTCTATCGTAACTAGATCTGGATACTTCAAGCATAAATTCAAACAATCACCATTATTTATTTTGAAAGCTTATCTTGGCTCGACGTCTAAATACAACCAAGAATTTTATAGCAAAAATATTTCCATTACCAAATTGCAAAATTACTTTTTTATACCTTTCTATAGAACCTATAGAAATGCCGTTACTGATAACACAATGTTGTTATTTATTTAAAGCGTTGCCATGTCTAAGTCGGACCTGTTTAAAATACAGTGTGTTTTTACTGCCACGTGGCTCTACTATACAAAAAGCTGCAGTAGGCGGGCGACATTGACAACTCTATGGTATGCCTCCAGTGTACATTCATAGGCGGAGTCTACACTGTCGCGTTACTCAATAACGAGGCTTGAATACATTTATTGACTTGACGATTTGCATTCGTTTACGCATTATGCACAAGATGATTAGAAACGTCGTAATATGCACAGGCAAGGAGAAAGACCGACGAGTCATTGTTCTCTTCTGATAATAAACAACAGTCTCTTCATAGCAACTGAAGTCTATTTTTAAGTTAACCCGCATACTATTTATGTCTTCTTGCCACGTAAAATGTCAGATAGAACGTAGGGAAGCGTACAATGCACAGAAAATGCAAATTATTCTACCGCTTACTAAGTACTTGTAACAATCTTAGTATTGAATAAAACTTTCAAATAAACAAAGAACTTTAAAACAGACATGTGTTTAAAGTGGCCCTTTGCATCAGATGCCGAGTTATGTGTTTAGGGTTGTTTGACTTTAAAACAAAGTTTCTTAAGTGCTAAAATGAGATAAAAGAAACGTTAAATAATACAATAGATATACAATATACTTTTATAAGTATTTCCGTGATCATAAAACATTCTAATTAACAATTGCTCTGCCGAATAAAGAAAGCTAATACTTGGTGTTAGGAAGAAAATCCGAAAATTTGCCAGTGCATTGAACACTAGCCTTACTAAAATGTCGACGTTTATGTCCCCTCACTATTCATTCTGACACTGGACTTTGTAACCAAAGCACGTCATTCGCACCAAATGATTCTAACTAATATATATATATCTATATATATACAGCTAGTACTGTATAAAACACGAAAAAATCTTATAGAGCAAATGACGAAAAATATTTTAATTTAATTACTAAGTAAACTTTGTTTTTTTTTTTTATATTAAGTACACATTTAAATATCCCACGTATGAATATACCCTAACTCACAGCTTACCGTCTATTGTTTTTTTTTCGTCCTTTTGTTATTTTGACAGCATTTACGTGTTTAGATCCCCGACAAATCGTATTAGCATACTAATACTCGAGCTCCAGGAAGTAAACACATTAAAATGTCTGCGTGTATCCCACTCGTACGGGATTCGCATTTCCAAGTCTCGACGACATCCCAATATTGTAACAAAACAAAGGAAGCTTCAACATCTTTAGCTACATGTGATACGTGATGTGATTATTATTCGGCAACTGGAATAACTCACAGGTGATGTGAGCTTTAAGACAATGAGCGAAGGATCATAGCATGTTAATGTACATAAAAATGTCGTGTTAGTTACATAACTTAAGAACGTTTAAACCGATTTGCTTGAAAATTAGTGGGGAGGTAACTTAGAACCAGGAGACTGTGTTTCCTCTTTTTAAATTCCGTGCAGTCAGAGTCGTGGGCAATAGCTAGTATAATATACATAGCTACTAGCTGTCGCCCGCGACTCCGTCAGCGTGGATATATAAACTTAATTAGTGTAGCATATGTGTTCTTTCACACTATGTTCAATGCTTGTGCCAAATTTAATCGAGATCCGTTCAGCCGTTCTAGAAATATCTTCAAACATCCATCCATCCACATCACATCCATCTAAACATTCGCATTTATAATATTAGTAAGTTAAATAAAAAGCAGGTCTTCCAAGCATAAATTCGAAAAAAATGAATAAATAGTATTCTATTTCCGTCTCCTGGCTCTAAGCTACCTCCTCACCAATTTTCAGTCATGTCAGTGATGCCGTTCTTGAGTCATAAACAGTGTAACTAAAACGATTTTCTTTTATATATACAGATTTCTGGTTATTCATCAAGTTTGTAAATCAGTTGACTATAAACTTATATCTCTTTTGTACTGCAATTAAATTTAGCAAATGACAATCAAATATTAAAGCCGTAAAACTTTGCAATGTTTTAAGTTCGACCGTGCAAACAAAATAAACTTTTTTGTTTTTTAATCTTCACAGTTATGCTAAAATATAAACACTGCCTCTTTCCGTCCTAAACTGGGTAGGTCGGAAGAGATAAGGCACAAAGAAAAACAAACTTAACTTATGGAAAGGGACAAACAGGAATTTGATAAGAAAGAACGCAAAAACAAAGTCACAAATAGCAAATTAACGACTAGCCTATCTTACGAAATAAAACGATGTTACATTACATGCTTTGAAATTGTTTTAATTTTAAATTTGATACCGCTAAAAATGTACTATTTGTCAAGGCATTAATGTACCGTACAATGTTTCACTTTCAGCACCTGTATTTTACTTAAAACCTTGACTACTTTGAACTTATTTGTCAATTAAAGTCAACGTTGGCGTTCCACAATCTCTAAATAAGCTATAAAACGCAAACTATTTAGGCAGCAAGTATATATGTGCTTCGGTTAATTTATTTTATATGTAATCATCAGGAATTATACTTGGACAAATGAAAGAGGTCCTTAATATTTTAAGATATTGCCATCCTTCTCCTTCTTAATGATAAAAACAGAGATGACACTATGTTTCTATACAACTCTTCAAGTAGGTGTGAAAATGGATAAGAAACGTGAAGAGTTGTATTTGGTAACATCATCATCATCATCAGCTCACTATACGTCCCCACCGAGGGGCTCGGAGCCTACCCTAAGTTAAGGGTGATTAGGCCATAGTCAACCACGCTGGCCAAGTGCGGGTTGGTCGACTTCACACATATCTTTGAATTTCTTCTCAGATATGTGCAGGTTCCATCACGATTTGGTAACATACTGTATATAATATTTAAGATACACTGCTAGTTATAAAAATCGTGATACATTTCTATGATTTCACATATACGTTATTTTTCTTTTCAACAGTTTTCTCATCATTTCAAAGAAATGAACTTTCCGGTGCGGAGATGACTGTGTAAGATTTCACTTTTTGCTTTTATATTTGGATTTAGCTTTTGGAGTTCTGAGAAATCATAGATACCGTTCCTTTGAGGTTTTTAGTCTTTGACTCATAGTACAAGAAAAATACAATTTTATAATATTTGAAGCGTATTGTCAACTTGATTACATTTATTCCATGAAAATATTTGCTCCCTTCATTTG